CGCGGCGCCTCCTGCGGGGGCACGGGGCGCCGCGAAACATGGCGTGGGTGCTCAAGATGGATGAGGTGATCGAGTCCGGGCTCGTGCACGACTTCGACGCCAGCCTCTCGGGCATCGGGCAGGAGCTGGGAGCTGGGGCCTACAGCATGAGGTACCCGCGCAGCGCCGCGGAGCGGGTGGTGGGGAGGCTGCTCCGGCCTGCTGGCCCCGCGTGGGCACCCGGCGCATGGCGGAGGTGCCTCCATGGCGAGGGAGGGCGGCCGCCACCAAGATGACCACCTTTTGCCTCTTGGGAGATCAGTTCTTTTCTCTTTTACTGACACCTCGCTGGCGCTGTGCACACTTTTCTGGGAACAGCTTCTGCTCCGTGTCTCCGTTAGGGATCTGGACACTGGTTCAGAAAGCTGCCCCTCCTTAGTCAGCAAGGGTGATTCTGGCTCAGCATGAGCCATTAATAGCTACCGTGTATTTAGTGTCTTGAAGTGTTATTTCTTGGCAAGGTGGCATCGTGCTTGTTGATAGGTTAGCGTTGTGCTTTGCTCTGTCTCTCTCTTCTGAATTTCCATGTGGCGTGCATCTCTAGAGATCCCTTTTTTTCCATCTTTTCCTACAGTGTAGCTTTGTTCTGTTCTTAGTCAGCTGGCAAGTTGATTACGTTTCTTAACGTTGTTTCTTACGTTGCTTAAACAGTGCTTGGGTGTGCTGTTTTTTATAGTTAAGATAAAGCCATACCTGTTTGAAATAAGTACATTTTATCTCAGTTCTGGGCAGTGTTTAGGTTACCAAGTGATTTGGTGTGGAAAACGGAAGCTACTTTTAAGACAGTAGGAGTGGTTCTATCTTGAGGTTTTGACAAGTTTACTCAGCATTTTGACTCAAGTCCCAAGAAGTTTAACACTGGCATCTGATCCTTTTGCTGGCCTGTCTTGTGTGAAAGATGAGTGTCTTCTGGCAGTGTTACCTGAGCCTTGAAGGTCACCACAAGTTTCAAGCCCTGTAATTTTAAGGCAGTGCTATTTAGGTAAAAAGGTGTAATTACTTTGTCTCCATTCAGAGTTACATATAGTGGTTTCAGCTGCACAGAAATGGAATCCTTTTTGCATAATGGTGGTTAGGGCATGTAATAGTAGGGCATCTGTCAACCTGCTCGTCTTCTTTGCAATTTTCTTAAAAGGAAGCTGATAATGTGGAAGAGGACAAAATTTCCCTGTGGATTCCCACATCTTTAAATAGTGTTAAAATAATTAAAAAAAATCTAGAAGCCCAGTTTTTGTGTTCTAGCATCTTTTCAGGCAATGAAGAAATTGACTATAAAGAGGAAATAGTGATTCAGTTGATCACAGTTTACGAGTTGCTGTCATTTGTATCAAAGCCACTCACCCTCCCCGCCCTCCCCCAGCCTGCAGAAAAGCTTTGTGCTGTTTGTAATGGTTGAGTGTTGGTGTTACTGTTATCCTCATTTAATAATGAATATGTTGTATAGACTTAAGGTGCTCATGGGGCTTCTTCAAGATACTTTATGATATTCATGGTCAGCAATAGTATCTTCCTAACCCAGCAAGAGCTGTGTAGCTGTGGGGATACTGGTCTTTGCTGTGCAATATTAAAAATGGAGGTTATTTCAGCAGAAAGGCTGAAAGGAGTTACGTGCGATTTCTGTAGTAAAATTACAGATTTTTTTTTCATAAAATGAAATCTTTGATTTAAATTAAGTAATTTGGCATTACTGCAAGAATATCAAAATATTCCCGAGCTACCTGCTGTCTATTAAGATTATTTTTTTTACATGTAACTTAGAAGCTTAGTATGAATTTCTTTAATTTTTTTTAATTTTTTTTTTCTTCTGTAGTGCTGAAATTGAGGCCTGTTTTCAGGGAACGTGGTGCTTATTACATGAATAGCTAATTTGGTGTCTGTGTGCGTATATGGATTAAAACCTGAAATTTGTTGAACTATATAGAAAAAAAAATGTAGCCCTTAACTCTGAAATAGGAAGTCTGTTTATAAGGATGTACCAAAATGCATTTAAAAATATAAATAGTTTTCCATTTTCAGAAAATCAAGTCAGTTGGATACTGCTTAATCCTCCAAAAGCACGCGTTGCCTTTAGGGAATTTAACAGGCTGCTGTTCATCCTGGAAAGAAGTGAAATGCACTGCAGGCTTTTTCCCTTGGGCCGTGGAGAACTGACTACAGCCTTTGGTGGTGAAGGAGCTTTGGGCATCAGCGGTTGCCCAAAATTTAGGGTGAAGCAAACAAAGCAACTATTAAGGTTGCTTCTTAGGATTCAAGGAACTATTATCTTAAAACTCACTTTTTTTTTTTCAAGTGAAGAAGACAGAGTGTTGGCAGCTTCTCTCAGTTTTTAGGTCTTTGACATCTTTTATTTGGCCTCTGTTTAACATGACTGTGTCATAGCACTTCTTGTCTTAACATTTTAGGCACACTCCCCTAATCCTCATACTTTTTGATACTGTGCCATTGCTTATTATTTGTTTAGTTATTTATTTTTAAGAGAGGCGATTACCTAAAGAATCCCCAAATCTTTTTATTAAGATGTATGCATGATTTTCTGGAGAATAAACTAAAAAGCTTCAATTTCAGTAGTATACTTGATTGTAATGTATTCTGTTTCCATGTATAAATAGAAAGCTTTCTTTTTTTTTAATAGTACTTGACTCTAGCTAAAACAAAATACTATGTACTGTTTACAACTTGAGCTTGATTTTGTGTACAGATTTACAAATCTGCAAATACCTTTCAAGATGCAGTGATTTAAGGAAAAATGACACACCCCTCCAAAGCCTAAACCCCTCATCTTTGTTACCATACGCAGAACAGTCTTGGTTATGAGCTGTGCATGCCCATGTTGGGTGACAAACCTCTTGTTCTAGATCCTTGCCATTATTTTTTCCCCAGCTGGATGGCTGGTTGCATGTAAAAGGGCGAGGAGAGGAGTGTAGGGCTTCAGGAAGCGACTGCTCAGCTGCCATAACCAACTGCAGCGTTTCCTTCTCGTCTCACGTGGGGAGTGAGAGCGTCTGCCCATGGGCAGTGTAGCCTCTTCATCTACGTGTTATTCCCCCTTACACCATATGATAGCGGGTGCAAGTTAGAGCAGCTGCCTATGTTGGAGCAGTAGGTAGAGAGCCCAGGGGGTTTTTGCTTGTGAACTGATGCTATTTTTAGAGCCTTGCTTTCCTTTGCTTCTGTCAAGTGCTTAGGAAGTGGGGTTTTTTGTTGTGTGTGTGTGTGTGTTTGGGTTTTTTTTTTTTTTTTTTTTTGAGGCCTTCAACCAGTTGAGTTTCCATTATGATAATTTCTCGGATTCCCAGAAGCAGCCATTACATTTCCACTTTCTCATTTATGCCACGTTACTTCTGGGTGCTTCAGGTGAAGGTGTTTGCCAGCAGTTACTGCTGGTGGTCTTGGCTCACCTCTACATTGCTTTCCTGGGCACAGGAGAAGGGTTAGGAGGTATCATCTCTCCCATTTCTTTGTGTTTCCCTGATGCTGATTAACAGTTCCAAGTTTGGCGTGGAGCTCATGCATCTTTCTCAAAGTGTTTGCACTTGAAAATCATGGTTTAATGGTTTAAAGTTTAAAAAGGCCTGTGTGTTCTTGGATATTTTAGTACTCAATGCAAAAGTGTAATGTCCAGAAGACAGATCAGGCAAATGAGTAGTGCAAAGTTATTTTGAGTTTTGATGACAAAACTTCCCCTATTTTGTGACCATATCTTTTGTTGTTTGTTTTGGGTCTTTTTTGTAATGCATTAGAAAATGTGATGGGGAGGGAAGAGGTTGTTTTTGAAAGGAGAGTGATTTTTTTTTTTCTGGCTGACAACCACATCTCACAGATGGGGGAAATGCTTGCTTTTTTGTGGGCTTTTTGTACTTTGCTTTTTTAGGATACACAAAATAGTCTGGCTCATCATACAAGAAGCCTCCTGGTGGAGGACACAGTTCAGGTGTTATGTGCGCCCTTGTTTCCTCTTGAAAACTCCTACTTTTGAATGCTGAAGTCATATTCATGTACTATTTTGTTTATTAGAACTAGCATAGATAGACCAGGCTGGATTTGGAGACCTAATCACAACCTGTTCTTGTGGACAACACAGATTGTTTGTGTTTTTCTGGGAATAACTTCTTCCTCCGGGAGGATGGAGGAGGTTGACTGTTTTAGATAACAATTTCTGAGGGACTTAGACAAGAGTTTTCTTATAGGAACTAATAGCTTCAAAATTTTGATCTTAGAGTTTCTTTTATCAGCAGGGTAAACCTTGAAAGATTCTAATAATATCTGTCCTTTCAAGTTGTATCAGCCAACCTAATGAAAGATGCTGCTTCTCCTTCAAAACATTGCCATTCTTTTATGCCTCCCAGAGAACAGCCTACTTGTGATCATTCAAAATTCATTTAGGTGGGAAAAATGAGGTAAGTTATTCTTTGACTTCCCAAGATCAAAAGTTATACGAGTAGAGAAAAAGCAGAACCTGTTTCTTAAAGCGCTTTTCTCCTCTAGCTTGAGATTGTTTCCACAGAAGCTGTTTTGGAAACCTTGGGTCACCTCCATCTAGGCAGCTTTGCCAGCCAGAGCTTCAGTCTAGGTCAGAGCTCCTTAGCTATCTTAGATAACATGAGCAGGGCTGGCAGTAAAACTGCATTGGGCCGGCGTAAGCAAAAGCTCCACCAGCTGGGTAGGAAAATGCCTGGATGCTGCAGGGTGCCTGAACATGGAGACTGCCTGTGATTTGCTGCGGAGAGATCTCTTGCAGGGCCCGGCCATGGGCAGAAATTGTATCTGGGGTAAGAAGAGATGGAACTGAGAAGGCTGACCTGCTCTCCTCCTTATTTTGGAGGGTTCTGTAATATAGTTAGTGTAAAACTAAATGGGGAAAAATGTCATTTAGGGTTTCCATACCCTTTATGAGTGTGGTCGTATGTAGTTTGTCATTTTCAAGATAGTCATCTCTAGAACTGTTAAAGATGGTTAATTTGTTCCTCCCTTTGTATTTGTTGGTCTCCAGTGCATTATCCGTTAATTGAACTAGTTTGTCAGTCACTCTGCGTGTTCTTAAGCTAGAATGGATGCATTTTTATTTTTAAATCATGGATGGAAAATGAAGGCTTAAAATATTTTTTTCCATATTTAGGCAGAAGACTTTGCATTTTGTGTTATCTTTAAAAGGTTTAGGGAAAGCAAGTACTGCCGAACTTCATCAAGAGATATCTGGTGACATATTTTGCATTCTTTCCTTATTGCACTTCTACTCCTGTGTGTGTATTTTAAACATTGTACTTGTTTCCATGTTCCTTCAGTTTTAAAGTTCCTCTTGATAAAAACACTAGCTGGTGTTTCCTGTGCCAAAGCGTGTTATAGCTCAGGTGTGTAACGCTGAAGTGACTTCAGGAAGCCCCAGGAAGGGCTTCTTGCAGTGCTGTTTCTTGTGCTGCAGTGTGCTTGGCTGCTCTCTGCAGCACATCAGGGCCTGAAGCATCTGCTTGGGCCGTCTGAGTCTCCTAGAGGAGTAATAAATACCCTGAGCTCGTGGGAAATCTTCTGATCCTTCCTATGCATCTGCTGTTCCTTTTGTCTTTATGTAGAAACTCTTGTTTCGGATGTTTGCTTCTCGCATCTGGAAGTTGTCTGTTACCATCCTTTGTAGGTGGTTAAGGTGCGAAGTCCCCTCTGGGCTCCAGTTTAGGTCCCAGGCTTTGCCAGTTGACAGGGTTTGGTTCAGTTTTCAGCAGGCTCCTACTGCTATGCCGGGATTGCTTCCTGTCTTTGCCTGCTTTCCTTCTCGCTAATAACATCTCCAGAGGCTTCCTCCTGGCAGAAAGAGGCCATTTTGGGTGGTCGGTTTGTTCTGCTCTAGCTCTTACTTTTTGGGAGCACTCAAAGGCAGACATTGACAACTTAAATTTTTCACAGTTCAGAAGCCTTTCTTCTTTCCTGTCAATCCAGCTCCTTTCAGGTAACTGGGGGGTAGTAGATAATGTAGCTGCCCTTTATCTTATCAGCACTATGTGAGACTTAGGCTGAGAAGGAAAAGTTGGGATGAACCAGGGGCATAAGCAGCTGCACTCCTCATATCTAAAACTAAGTCAGTGCTATATTTAAACTTTTATGACACAGACAAATTGCTTGGAAATGTTGTCTTTTGATTATCCATGTATGAGCTGGAAGTCAAGAGCAATTACAGAATTCTGTTTAAAACACAGTCTCTCTCAGAATGGAGCAATTTTACTTCATAAATCCTAGAGTGCAAAGAGTAAATAGCAGTGCAGTACATGTAAGACATAATTTTAATGTATTTGTAAAATAATCCTGTGGTTGTGATTGGTGCAAGTAAGGTGAATGTGAAAGAGATGCATGTTTAGATTGGAAAAACTGAACCAGCAGGTGTGAGGCAGATGTGTCTAGTCAGAAAAGAAATCTTACTTCAGTTGGGAAACTAATTTTCAAAGAAGGTGGAAAACCAATGTTTACTGTTGGTGGTGAAGCTGCTTTTCTTACCTCTGTTTGGGGAAAGCCTGGTTTACTCTTTACTATTCTGAAACTTTAGAATCATAGAATGCTTAAGGTTGGAAGGCACCTCTAGAGGTCATCTAGTCAAACCCCCTGCACACGCAGGTCACCTAGAGCATGTGGCACAGGACTGCGTCCAAGCGGGTTTTGAAGGTCTCCAGAGAAGGAGACTCCACAACCTCTCTGGGCAGCCTGTTCCAGTGCTCTGTCACCCTCACTGTTAAGAAATTTTTCCTTAAGTTTCTGTGGAACTTTTG